AGCAGACCGACAAATCCAGTTAGATGCGCCATATATATATATATATATATATATATATATATATATATCCGATGAACAAATCAATAAATGCGTCCAAATATATTTTATACCACCAACAAAATTTAATAACTTACAATTAATTGAAATTTAGTATTTCAGGAAGTACTTTTTCTCGCCAAGCGAACTTGATCACGTTTCCTCAGAGACACCCCCCCCCACTGGGTTCAATAAGCAAATGTGTTTAAGGTTGCAGCCTAAATTATCCTCTCCGTACATTTCGCGACCACAGATTCATACACAACCCAGTTCAGTCAGTTTTGAACTCTAAACATCCAAATATTTCGGCTTAATCCATGAAAGTCCCCTTTGTTCCTCAGGCCTCCTTGCCCTTGTTCCCAAAATGTCCTTTGGGTTTGAAGAATCCTGTATTGTTTGAATAGCAGTGGGTTTTTTTTGTTTTTTGTTTGTTTTGTTGTTTAAATCCATTTTAATATTGTAATAAAAGGAGCAAGCTCTGTGGTGGAACCTAAACAAGCGGAGAAGGTGCTAACCCACCTGAAACTGGTGACACAACCAACGTGCTGTTTAATAGTAGGAGCGTTTTTGTCATTGTTTGGACAAGTCGATCAAGTTCAATGGCAGATTGGCTGCTGACTTCCACGTCTAATTCGCTGGCTTATTTCGGGACCCGTCTGGAAAAGGAGCATTTAAAAATATCCACCCGTCTTCCTTGGTCAGGCTCAGTCCCTTCTCCGCGGATAATCGCAGGCTTACGTTCTAGCAAACCACCGGTAACGAGAAATGCGCTCTTTGCCCGGAGTTCGCCTTCAATGAAACAAGAAAAGAGGAGAGCTGTAGGCGCGCATTTTCAGTTCCATAAATACTCGCGCCACACTGGAAAGGCAAGGCAATAAAACCAGTTCCTTGTCTGCAAGGAATAAGTCGAAGGGAAGGAGATGCTAAGCAGGCAGGGCCAAAACTATAGCCAGAATGCTAACCAGGATGCTAACCTTGCTGCTCAAGAAAAGAGTCGTTGGAAGAGAAAAGGGAGGAGGGCGCCGGCTGGGAACGAATTTTAGGAAATTGACACCAAAGAGTGCCTGGGAAAAGCACCTTGTCAGTTTCATACAAAGCATAGCCACAGAACACCCTAACAGCTAGAAACTATAGACTTTTCTTTAAAGCTGCAGGCTTGCAAGGAATTGCTCCTAAAGGCAGGAGAATGTTCTCAGATAGCGAGGCTGCACGAATATGGAGGAGGGGCGGATAACGGTGGACCCTAAAAAACCGGTATGATCCTCCCCATATGTTCTGCTCTGATCAAGACAACTTGCCCTTGAAAGTACAGCTAACCTTTCAACTGTATCTGGTGGTGGGAGGAAATTCGGTGCAATAATAATAATAATAATAATAATAATAATAGTAATATCGAGAGCTACGTTGCTGATCAGACGATTCTCCCTGGGAAGCTCAGCTGTTGAGAAGAGGGCTCGTAGGGAGCATATGCTACAGAGAGAGGCAGTGACTTCCTTCTGACAACAACAACTTTTGCTAACCTGGAAAAGAGGTCCCTATGGGACGCAAGCCCCCTACGGTGCCCCCTAGGCTGCCCGGCTGCCTTGCCCTCCCTCTCTCCTCCTTGCTTCCTGTTCCGTTTCCCTCTCACGCGCAGTGAGGATCTTTCGCCCTTTCTTTCAAACAACCTTTTCTCGAGCCCATTTGTCGCCTGCAGGAGTCCTCCGCCTTCCCTTCTCCACTTGCCCCCCGCTCCCCCGGCGCGAGGGTCCTTTCTTTTCCCTCAGAGCACTAGCTCCGTCGATGGCCATCTCCAAGGGCGCCTAATCGTGGCGGACCTGCGAGCTGAAAGGCTGACGACGCAGCGCAGTAGCTGCGCTTTTCAGCGCACTCAGATCCGCGCCCCGAGCCCTCCGCCGGCCTCGGGAGCAGGGGAGGCCGTTTACCCGGGAAGTCTCTCTCTCTCTCTCGCTCTCTCTCTCTCTCGGGGTTATCTCAGGGGACTGTCTCTCTCCCCTCGCGCACACGCTCCCCCTGGCCAAGAGCCGTCTTGCGATCGAGCCGACACCCTCTCGCAGCCGGTTCGGGGAAGGCACCATCTCGCGAAACACAGCGAGACATCTGCAGCCCGGCCCGTATATAAAAAAAGGAAAAGCGCGCGGGGTTGGGTTGGGTGGGGGTCTGGCTGGTTGCCTGTCATAGCCGCGGGAATCCGTCCTGAAAAAAGAAGCTTTTCAGAGCGATCTCACCTCCAGCCTCCTCTTGGGAAAGGAAGCGGCCCCGGCTCGCCTCTCTTTGCAAGAGATCTTCTGATCCCGCTTTGCGCATCTCCAGGCTGCGAGAAATGGACATCAATGGCCTCCGCTTGCCTGCTGGGACCCTTTGGGGACATAGATGGAGCAAAGCCAGAGAAAAAAGAAAATAAATGTGGGGTGGGGTTTTTTTTGGGAGTGTGGGGGGCAAGCAGCTTAGGTCCCGGGCTGATCCGTCCACCCCAATACAGCCAGAGGATATTTCCCCCCTTTCCTTCGTAGCCCCCCTCTCCCTGGTGCAGAGGATCTTGTTTCTGCGCTGCAAAGTCTCCCTCCCCGGCTGTACACCCGCGCGGCCCGATCTTATCAAGAGCCGAGGCCTATAAATCAGGGGAGCTCGTCTGGCGATGGTGGGGAGAGCTTTCCAGCATCAGATCTAGGGCGAAGCACAAAGTGGGAACGATAGGGCGGGGTGGGGGCTCAAACACGCGCGCACACGCGCGCAGGAGGGCGGAAAGGGGCGACCAGCCAAGTGAAACTGACCAGAGGGAGCATTGTATCCGTTCTGTTTTTGACTGGGGGACGCGAAAGGGAAATCCCATCCGGGAAGCAGAGCGCGCAGAGCGCAGGCCGTGGAGAGCCGAAGAAGAGCCCCGAGGCCGCCCCTGGGCCCAGGCAGGGGTATCCTTAGGAGGCCCCGTTTGAACCACGTCCTCTCGCTCGTCCCGGCGGTCCCGGGGAGCCTATCTTGTGTGGTGGCGCTGAAAGCTGCGGCTGAAGGCCGATTCTCTCTCTCTCTTTCTCTCTCCACCGCCCCCCGCCCTGCGCAATCCCCTTTCCGTCCTCCCCTGCAGTTTTTGCTAGCTGACTGCCTTGGCTTGTATTGGGAGAAGGGGCGCGCCGCGACTGCAGCAGACCCGCACGTGGCTTTCATTTAGGAGACACCGAGCAAGCCAGCAACTCGCCGCGCCGAGCGCGCTTTCTCTCGGATACCTTCTCCTAGCTCCCTGGCAAGGCGAGGCCGAGGGGCCCCAAGGATGGCCGAAGGGCCGGGGATCTTCAAGCCCAGGGAGAAAGAGGAGGAGGAGTCCAGCAAAGGCCGATTGGAGCTCCCGACTCGGCGTAAGATCAACGCCTCCAAAACAAAAAAACAAAACAAAAAACACACACACACACGCTATTATTTTGTGCGCCGTGTGTGGCTTTCTTGCTGCAGTCCCAACTGCTAGATCTCTTTCATATCTGATTCTTTTTTCCCCTTCCTTTCTCGATCAGGACTTTTCACAGTGGAAGAAGGCATTCTTCAACCTCACCTCTCCTAAACACGCCGACTTGGAATGAAGCCCGCCACCCCCACCCCCCAGTTCCCCGGTTGCAATTATTTCTCTCCTGCACACGGAAGCAGCTAGCTTCTGGTCGTAACCCGCACTAGGTGTGTAGAAAGGGTTGGGCTTTGGGAAGTCAAGCACTGCCAGCGGCTGGGATACAGATATCGATCTGCACACCATTCAAAGTGGGGGTGTAAAATGGTTTGTGTGTTTGCGTGCGCGCTCACACACACACACACACACACACACCACCCAATGAAAACCTCCGTTAGAGAATATCCAGTACGGACACTAGCAGGAGCCAACCGGCTAATGCTCAGGGCGCCTCGCATCTTGAACCAATGGCAACGTTACCATGTGCTGGAATAGACCTCGAAATCCTGTAAGAATCTCTGGAAAATGGCAATTGTTTATAGTTTCATAAAAGACTGAATAATAATAATAATAATAATAATAATAATAATAATAATAATAATTGAACACAACGCACGCAAACCTGTTCTACAATCCACCTCCTGCGCGAAATCCACTGCAGTGATGGATCCGAATGGGGGCTATGAAGGAAGAATTATTTATAGGCTGATTGTGGCCATTTCTGCTGGTGGATCATAATGATCCCCTAACGTGGGTCTCATTATATTGGTTTATATTGGTCATTTTATTTAGAATGGTGTAACAAAAGCAAAGCAAAACACAAGCAAACCTGCCCTGAGGACTTTACAGTGTTGACCCCCGCCCCTAATTTGAAGTATATTGCCTTGGATTTCTATTCTCAGTCTCATTTAGCCCAGGGGACACCCCGACCTAGCAGATCCCGGCCCCTTCTTTGAATTGTCTGTCACATTCGTTGCTAGGCCCATTGAAATTAATGGGGCTTATTTAATGAACACAAGTAAGTTAGGTCCATTAATTTAAATAAGTCTACTCCGCTTAGATAATAATAATAATAATAATAATAATAATAATAATAATAATAATAATAATTAACAATAATAATAATAATAATAATTTATACCCCGCCCATCTGGCTGAATATCGCCCTTAGAATTAATGAAGATTCAAAGGGTCTTTTGTGAGTAAAACTTAGTTGAATACAAATGATGGTGATGGTTATATAAAGAAGAAGAAAGGTGTTAGATGAAAGCTAGGTTTTGAAACGACTGGCAAAATGATTGGCGATTTGTGCCTCAGGCGGGCCAGGGGCTCCCCCCCCCCAGCAAAATCCTGATCGCCCGTGTATCTCTTCTGACGTCCACACGACAGCTGTTCCCAAAAGCCTCTCCTATACATCTCGACTTCGTCGCAAAGTGCGAGGAAGCCTGTGATGGACGTAATCAGTAGTACCGACCCGCAGGCATTTCTGATACCCGCTTAAAACGAACCAAACAAAATACAGTACTCCAGCGACTTCCAATGAGGAAAGCAGCCTCGGTTATTTATTTAACCCCAGTCCCTATGAAAGAGGGCGAGGGAGAAAGGCAGAGACATAGGCAGAGATCTCGGCAGGTCGAACCCATCGATTCTGCGCTGCAAGAAACGTTCAAGATAGGAGCCGAGGCTGCTAAAAAAGCCCGCAGGGAGACGAAGCGTCGCACGATTCCGACGATCATTTGACACGCAAAAGATCGCTGCTGGCAGATTAATTATTGACGGGGGGCGGGTTGGGTAGGGAAGGAATGGAGAAAAGGGAAGGGGGCAGCATTGGAATGTCAGCCCTCTCCTAGCAGACACTTCTGAAAAGAAAGAACAAGGGTTAATATTGGACAAGGTTGTTTTATAGATGAACGATTGTCAGAATTATGTGCATTTCCTAGCAATAAATAATAAAACACTTTGGAGGCATTTTGTGTGTGTGATGGGGGGGGGGGAGAGAATGAGCTTTCCTACTTGCCCATATCTTAAATCAATTGGTTAACCTTTAAGGTACCGCAGGACTCTTCAATGTCTTGGCTGCAACGCAATAAAACAGCTAATAAGAATTAATAGTAATTAAAAAATCGGTATATAAAGTGGTTAACAATTTGTAGCTCCCTTATCTGCAGTTCCTGCTGAAAACCCTGATGCACACGCATGCTTGAAATATATCATATTTCAACTTGAAACACACATGTGAGCCGATTTTTTTTAAAAAAATATATATAAGAAAAACACCTCCGCCTTTTGGCTGACGGAGCCCTGCTATATTATTAATAAAGAACAGTATTTAAACTTTAGGGGTGCTCCTTCCCCTCCTCCTCAAATTATCCGGATCAAACTGTTGCTTTCTACTGCTTACTTTGAAATATTCCCTTTGAAGCCAACGGGGCTCCTCTGGAGTCAGTGACTTGAGAACGCGTAGTAGCCCATTGCAGTCCTCAACGTGTTTCCTCGCGAGGAAGCAAACGCCAAGGATTCTTCTCCTGCAGGCTTACACATCTGCTTCTAGCTGTAGGCCGGGTCCTAAAAACGTTTCCTCGGAAGTAGAGAATATATTGCAGCCTTGTATGGAAATCAGACCTGTTGAGGGGATGGCTGCCCCACAAGCAAACGCCTATCGGATCCGGAGTTGGAAATGCGGATGTAATGAGACCAAGGGCGACTTACTTCCGAGTTAAAGGCGCTTCGCTCCTGCGGGGATGGTGACTTTCCGACTTTATTTCTCCGCATCCTTGAAACCCGGGCTTTCCAGACGCTGTTGGCAATTATTACCCTTCTTCACCTTTCTCGCACCCAGTCAGGACCCCTTTCGGTTCTCTGGGCGATTCCCACACAGGTCCCCCGCCCCGAAGTGTAACTCCCTGGAGCTGGCGCTGCAGTTTGGCAACGCGTCACGGAACCCCCCCCCCCTTTCTTCCTCTTTTCGTTTACCGCGAAGTCCAGAGACCGCGGCGGGACACCCTCCCATCCCGCCTCCTCCGCCACGCTCCTCGGCCTTCCCTACGCTCCAGATCGCCGGCCCGTTTCCTGCTGCCCGTTCATACGGGCCGAAAGCAGACCAGAGTCCCTCCGGATCGCGGCGGCGTCGCGGGCGAGGGAGGGGGAGAAGGCAGGAAGAAGGCAGGGGGTGGGGGAAGACGCCTCTCGACTTGCAGAAGTCAGGGCGAAATGTGAGTTGGCTGCGGTTGGCCAGGGACTCTTCTCCGACCCCCCTCCCTCCATCATTCGCTTGTCTACCCATCCGCTGTGGGCCGCCGAGGTTGCGGCGGGGAGTGGAGAGCGAGGGGGCCAGAGACGGGGTGGAGCCAGCGGAGGCCGCAGTTTGGAAAGGTTGCGCAAGAAGCCCCCGCTGCGCTTCAAGATATAAAAGCGCCGTCGAGGCGCCTCCGCCGCAGCACCAGCGACTGCAATAGCAGCAGCAGCAGCAACAGCAGCAGCGACGACGACTGGCCAGGCGCGACCGCGGCTCCGTCGAGGATTATGGAGTTCCTGAGCGACAAATTCGGCCTCAAGAGCCCCCCGGCGGCGGCGGGCAAAGGAGGCGACTTCTACCTGGCCTCCGGGGGCCCCCTCGAGCACGTAATGGAAGCGCTGGACGGCGGAGAGGCCTTCTATGGCAAAGGCGGAGGCAAATGCGTTGCCCAGGCCGCCTACAACCCGCACGCCAGGCTGGACAGGGCGTCCCCGGGCAGGGACGGCTCCGGTGAGTGAAGGGCTGGCCGGCACCGCGGCAGGCAGTCCGCCCGCACTGAGGCCCAGGATCTGGGGCGAGTGTGCGAGGTGCGGGGTGGGGAGAGGGTGTCCGAAAAGCCGTCCGGGATCCGCTGCTTGGAGCGGCTCTCCTCCGGAAAGGGGTGGCTTGGCCTTCTGTGTAAACGGGATCCGGGTCGGCGAAGCGAAGCGGGTTCTTTTGGGCGTCTGCATGCAGAATGTTTTTGGAAAACTGATTTTTTTGGGGGGAGGGTGGGCAGTTTTCTCCTCTCCAGCAAAGCTCCCCACATACACGCACACACGCACAGCAGGGCGGACAAGATTGTGGCTCAATCCACCGCAGATTTGGAGTGTTCTTCTCGGGAGAACACCCCCCTCTTTTTGATCTCAGAAGAATCTGGGGCGCAAACGCGGTTTCCTAAAAGGTGATGGCGCCTTGGAGGCATCTCGAGCAGGGACGCTTCTCCCTTTGTGGAGAAGCTTCGCCAAAGACGGTGCCACCTTAGTTATAGAATTTAGATTAGCTTCTCCGCAATCCCAACAGCCCTTGCCAGCTAGAAACATCCCGATCCGAGGACTTGGAAGCCCGCAAAAACCGGATAGCTATAACCGGTTTCCTTCGGGGAGGAGAGTGTTTTTAGAGGGGCCGCTCATTAAATGATGAAAACAAGATAAAAGTTGGCAATGTGAAGGTGATGCTCCTCTTCTGTTGCATTCCGATTTGACTTTAACTGACGCCCGTGCCTCCATCGGAAGTTGCGGCAGACGCCAAGACCCAACGTCAATTCATCCCACCAGCAGCCGGCTGATTTGCAAAGAGGATTTTACCTTCCGACGGCCTCGGGCTTTTCTTCTTCCTCTTCTTCCCCTTTTAAAGTCCTCCTTCGGGTGTCACACAGCTTGGAGGCGTTCAGCTGCCCTTGCTTTTCTAGTTTGTTTGTTTTTTTGCCAAGGGCCTTTTTACTCGTGAGCTCTGAAGCTGAGTCCCGCAGGACCTCAGATCCGCTTCCCCGCTCACCCCTGTCTTTAGGAATATGAGAAAGAAGGTAGCCCCAAAGTCAGCATTTCAAAAAGAAAACACTCCCCCGACTCCTTTCCTTCTCCGTCTCTTCCCTGAAAGCCAAATCTGTGGAAGGATTTACAGCCGGAGTCTGGGAGGAGAAGGAGGGACCATAACGCAAAACAGAGAGAGGAACCGCGGAAGGACGCACATTTCGGTCTTGCCCTGCTATAGATTAAAATGGGCCTTTGACTTTGCGCGTGTATGTGCTTATATATATATAGAAAGAGAGAGAGGTTGCAAAGGCTTTTGGCTATTACTGTTATTACTCCTACTACTATTAATAGTACCCCGCCCATCTATCTGAGTTGCCCCAAACCCTCTGGGCGGCTTCCAAGATATTTAAAACACAATAAAACATTACACTACACTAATGCCTTTATCTATCTAGTGTGCGAATGCGTTTACCCAAGTATTATTTTGATCATCTTCTAAATCCGTCTGTCATTTATCGGTTTTAAGCATATGTAATAATAAAAGTTGGCAACATAAACGGATAAATTAAAAATCTCATCATATAGACTAAATTATAACGACAGGCAAAACGGCGGCGCGCAGTTTAATTGCACAACAGAAGGAAATAAGGAGGACATTTAACTGTCAGCAACAGAAAAAGTAACAGCCAGGTATCGCAGGGAGCCAAGTCCCAAAGCAACGAGAGAGCTCTAATGAGTGTGTATGTTCATTATGAATGCTATTAGGTATATCAGAGCATTTTATATTTTTATGCTATTACTGAGGAAATTGGAAGCCGAAATGTTTAACTGCCCGACTTACACTCCCCCTCAGCCAAATATTAATATACATATTTTCCCCTGATCGGCTGCATTTATCCAGGATCCGGAGTAGTATTTGAATGCAGCACCATTTTTCTGATCTTCTCTCACACTACATTATAGCTACAATATTCTGTCATATCCGATCCACAATCCGGTTAAACCACAGTGCTCGAATCTGACTCCAATGGTTTTAAATTCAAATATTATATCTGCTTTTTGGAGTTCAGTCGCCCGCCCTCCCCATCTTTGTGCGATGCTACTTTCTTTACTTTAGACTTTTCTTGACAGAAAACAAAAGAAACGAATAAACAAACAAAAACTACTACGGAAGGAGCAAGTAAGGGACTGCTTTCTCCCAAAATTCCGCCGGCCCATTTTACCCTTTCGCTTAATTTTCTACTCACCGGAAGTGCTGGCTAAGTTTGTTGGAACATCTGGTCGTGTCTGTAGAAACCCTCCAGTCTGCCAGAGCTCCAGAAAAACGCGAGATCACAAACCAAAATGCCAATCCAAACCGTCTTAAAAAGCACACAAATGTTCAGATCGTTCTTGGTCAGTTTCCTGCTCTTCCTCACCGTCTGAAATGATGGTAACAGTCCTACAAAATATGCAAGCTATTACATTTGGTAATACCATAGGATCATAGAATTGGAAGGAACAGGCCAGAATCATTTAGTCCAACCCCCTTCAGTGTAGAAATATTTTGCCCAATTTGGGGATCGAACCCACGACCCTGATATTAAGAGTCTTATGCTCCACCAGTTGACCTATACCACTTGGTGTTAAAACCAAGGGACAAGTCGAGTAAAAAGGAAAATCTCGTGTCTACTCGGAAGTAAATCTGGTGGACTTCAATGGGGCTTACTCGTCGGTAAGTGTGTCCGTTTAGTTACTGCCGCGGGTCATGTCAGTGGCAATTATACTTCCGCCCCTTATTTATAGATGCAATTCATACTTCCGGCTCTTGATGAATTCACTTGCCTTTGGGCATCCTCTGTATGCTTTCCTACACCTTCCTGATCCTCCAGGCAATCGTGACTTGCAAATAAACCCCACAGATTTCCATTAACATTGGTTGGAATGGGGCTCGTAAAATGTTCCATGGGGAGGGGGGGAGAAGACTGTGCTGCGCGTGGTACATTAGGTAGCAAAATCTATAAAAACTGTCGCAAAAGGCACAACAACAAAAACCTGCTTTCAAACACCCAGTTTTTCATCTCGGAATGCAGCGCGACGTTCTCTTCCTTCTTAACCTGCTCGCTGCCGTGTGTGCTTTCAAGCCGACAAACCAATGCGATGTGAAATGTTTATTGCAACCTCGTTGAGTTTAACGAGGTTGGAGATCTTTCCCATTATATATAGAGCATGTTAAAGCAAGGCGATTAAAAAAGGAAATTAAGCCAAACGATAAAAGAAGCCTGTCTGAAACTTTTTTTATGTCTTGTAAAGTGGGATGGATTTTCTTGCCAGCAAATGTTCCCCGGGCCAAAGATTTCATAGCAGAATTTTGATTCTGTTTGCTTTAACGTTAGACTCAACATTTGCCTGCCCTTTGCCTTGACTGTGAAATCTAAAAACGATCAGCTCTGTATTTGGAACAGTAATGAAGAATATAAAAATGAGGGAAGTATAAGGAAATTTTTGTAATTCCATGCGTCAATCTGCCTAAAAATGTCTATATAGTAACAAACGACACATTTATTATCCTGCTGCAAGAGGTCTGTAAATACGATTCTTATTCTGAATTATTGGAATGCTGCTTTGAACATTTTGGAATAGTAAACCTAAAATAAAAGAGAGAATCAATACTTCAGTAGGAAGCACAAGCACAGCACAAACCTATGTGGCAGAATATTCTTCTAGGTAAGTTTTTAGATCACAGCCTTAAGAATCAGGTTTTTTTGACATCAAAATGCAATATTTTCCTTGGTGCTTATAACAATGGAATCTGTTTTTTTTAAAAAAATACTCCCATTTTAATATTGTTTGACAGCAAGTTCACACAACTTCCAAAGGCAATTATTTTAAGTGTGTAGGACAAAAGTGGGAGAAAAGACCCACAAGATCCTTATGCAGAGAAAAAGTAAAATAATTCCTGGGGAATCTAACATGGCATGTTTGTGATAGGTTTGCCATAATTTGTATAGGTTTGGTTCTTATTTCAATTTGGGTCAATGCTGAAGGACAGTTCTGGAGCATTTAACAGAAAGTAATACTAGTGGTAGGGTGTAAATCGTTGCCGGTTAGCTTCCTTAAATTGGGTACCTTAACTCTATATTTTTAAGAACTTATTGCTGAGAAGACTTGACCTACTGTGAACTCCTGTTCTCTTTTATAGCCCCAAACTACATTTACTCAGAAGTAGAGCCCTATTAAAGTCAATAGGAAATGTGTTTGCAGCCTTACGTGGGTGCTGGCTTCACTGATTTCAAAGGTGCTTACTTCTAAGTAAGTGGGCTGTTATGGGTCGCAGTCTGTGTCTGGTTAAAATTACAGAAAATGAACAGGAGGGTGTAAAGAAATTACAGGGAGTGGCAGAGAGCGTTAAAACAATCTTGAAAGGGCAGCTTGGGTGCCATCCTTTGTAATGTTTTACTGCCCTGAAGGACTGGAATTTCTCTACTCCCCACCTGTCAAAAGAAAGGGGGGGGGGAGTTGGAGATCATTCAAATCTTGTAACAGGCTGCATCAGTTATCTCAGAAATATTTAGCAAAAAAGGCTGGGAATTAGTTCAGAAGCTAAAGGGGGAAAATACTTTAATCCTTATCTTGGGCAGCAAGTGTTTTTTCAAAGATAAATGGTTCTTGCAGGACGAGTGCAAAAATATAGGAAATAATCTCTTTGACTGAGTTATGATTTTGAAGAGAACCCCCACCACTTTGTAAAAATACTCCTTAATTAAAAGCAAAGTCGCTATACAAAACCAAGAGCATTAAAAAAAAAAGTGGGGCGTTTTTATTTCTTTTCACTCCCTTCATTATTCTTGATTCGCAAGTGCGCTTCTTTTCCACATACCTTTCTTACACACTTCCCTCCCTTAACAATTTAAAGCTACTATACTGGCTTAAGAAATGAAATAGTTTGGAAATTCATCCAAAGCAAAGCACTTTATAGAAAGTTTCATTGCCATATTCTCTTGGGTCTCTGCATATTTAATCAGATGGAATTCTCTTACTCCCAGGTAAGCATGCAAAGGGCCATTGCTGAAGTACTTGAGTGTGAAAGCTGAAGTAGGAATGAACCTAAGCACACTTCTAAGAACAGATGCATAGGACTGCAATGTGCCTTTGCAAGTCTATTTTGATTTGATGTTTAGTACTACTACTACTACTAATGATAATAATAATAATAATAATGTATATGCTGCCCCAGTCACTCTGGGCGGCTTCCAACAAATTGAAACATTAAGCACAGTAAAACATCAAACATTAGAAACTTCCTTATACAGGGCTGCCTTCATATGTTTTCTAAATGTTAGATAGTTGTTTATTTCCTTGACTTCTGATGGGAGGGCATTCCACAGGGCAGGCACGACTATCGAGAAGGCCCTCTGCCTGGTTCCCTGTAACTTCGCTTCTTGCAGTGAGGGAACCACCAGAAGGCCCTTGGAGCTGGATGTCAGTGTCCAGGCTGAACGATGGGGGCGGAGACGCTCCTTCAGGTTTACAGGGTCTATTATTTGGTTTGCTTGCACTGCAAAATGCATAGTTGTGATCTGAAATATAGGCGTCTCAAAGCAAATTCTCTTTGAATCTCCATTGGACTGACTTCCAGGTAAACGTGGTAGCCGGCACTTTGCGAGAATGTATTCCAATAGCATGACTTAGACAGCAACCCTATAGATCAGGGCTAGCCAACACAGTGGACTACAGTTGCCACCACCCCTGCCCATTCCCCAAGCTGGCTGGCAGTGATGGGAGTTGTAGTCCAACAAGATCTGGAGGGCACCACACTTGGTGGGCACTTTCCCTGGGAGTAAGTCACATTGAACTCCAGTAGGCATGCTGAGGGACAAGAAAGGCACGGCTAAAGGCAGTTGTTAATATAAGCAGTCTGTGATTCTGGCATGGAAGCTTCCTCTTCAGCTGTAGCCATTTCAATAATAATTCCATCCCTACTTCCTCGCAAAATGCTTCCCAATTTAAAAACGAAAGGAACCCCAAACCAAGCTTGTTTCCCCTTTGCTGTACAGTGAACTATGGAATTACCAAAGTGGAAGGTCAGCCGCTTCACACCGAGCTGGGGAGACCTCTGGACAACTGCAACAGCCTCCGCATGTCCCCGGCCAAAGGGATGCAGGAGAAAGGCGAGATGGACGAACTGGGAGATAAGTGCGACAGCAACGTTTCCAGCAGCAAGAAGAGGAGGCACCGGACCACATTTACCAGTTTGCAGCTGGAAGAGCTGGAGAAAGTGTTCCAGAAGACACACTACCCCGATGTTTATGTACGGGAGCAGCTGGCTCTGAGAACAGAACTCACCGAGGCCAGAGTTCAGGTAGGAGCTGCGGTTCCATCCAAAAACAAAGCCGCTCATTCTGGAGGCTAAAAAAGCTCATTAGGCTGAGCAAGAGCCTTGTCTGAATTATCCCTCAGACAGAGGAGGATGTTGTGTTTCGATCTGAGGCTGGGCCAGCTGACTGCGCGTCTATTTTGGTAGCTTTGCTACTCAACCAGTAAGGCATGTCAGCAGTCATAATACTGAACAGATTGTTTCAAGGCTTCACATCATTTCAAGTCCCACACAGCTTTAGGTACCTGACTGGATGCCTCTTCTTCCTATAGGTGCCTATCTGGGTCTTAAGATCTTCCAAAGTAGCTTTTCTCCTCGGAGTATGGTCTCCTTTTGAGGCATGAAATAGACGGAGAGGAGCCTTCTCAGTGGTGACTCCCCATTTCTGTGGAATGCTCTCCACAAAGAGGTTAACCTTGCAGCAATATTAATGTCGTTGTGGTATGAGATGAAGGTTTTCATATTCTCCCAGGCCTATTTAAAACAACAAGTAGTTTTTTTAAATCTCACATCGGCAATCTTACAGAATATTATATGTCAGTTCCTCTTCTGGTATTGGGGAAAGAGGGTTAGCAGTTCAGTGCATTGCCATCTGTTGAGTAATAGCCATTGTTTATTGAGTAATATTTGTAACTGTTACCTCGGCTTGTTTTTAATATTTTGTTGTGTGTCACCTAGAGGCCGAGTATTAGGTGACAAATAAATTTGATAAGTCATAGTCATCAGCACTAGCAGCTGTTGTTTCAGCAACTCTCGCAACAGTCCTGTAAGGTGGACCAGGGTCAACGGGCTGAGACTAAAGCACAACAGCTTACTTAGGGACATCTACCAAATTTGTGGGTTTTGAACTGAGCCAGACTAGCCCTATTTCACATATTCAGGGCTTTATTTTTGCATGATGCCGAAAGCACCTTTGTGCCTTTGCTGCACTATTTGCATTCTGGATGTGGGTGATGTTAATGAGGGAAAGAGACCGGAAGAGAGGAACACATAGTTCATGCAATACATTAACATTACGGGCTCTGGAAATGCAAAAGCCAATGTAAGCACACATGACAAGGATTTGCATCTGCAGAATGGTTATACAGTGTTGCACAATAACTATCCACAGTCTCTAAAAGGTTATAATTACAATTTCTACGTCTCTGAACCATTCTAGTCAGTGAGCTGAGACTGTTTGCCGTGTGGCATTAGCAGTATTTTACTGCTAATTTACTACTTCTTCTTTGGCGATCACTCGTAGCTGAGTAAGATTGTCTTCTATAAACATGGTTTTAACAATGCGTCCGTAAGTGACTGTGGAAGCCAATTCTGGATCCACACGTCCTTCCACAGTGGGGACATTGGTTTCCTGGTGGGAGTTGATCATGGTGAGGGTTTGCCAAACGTGCCTTCCACTTAGCACGTTTCTTCCTTTCATCATATCAGTATCAATGAGGTGTTTTAAAAAGGATGGAATCTTGTATCCTATGGTCTATTGCATTAACCTGACAGGCTTCTATGCTTTGTTGTTAATCCCCCATGCTTAATGAACAATGCCATGCTAATTGTTAGCTTAAATATCCTTGTACATCTTTGAATGTGAACATTAGTAACTAATTAGGGCTGTTCAATACATTACCCCCACCCACCCCCATTTTAAGCTCCACACATCTAAGCTATTTAAATTGTACACTTAAAAATGCAAATTATGAGCTATGTACATGCAACCATCCACACAGCTAGGACTGGCAGCCTGTGGCCTGTGAAGCATATACTCAGTGGCCAAACCATTATGTAATGTATGAAAAGGCGTCACATTAGTTATAGCTATGCTCTTCAGTGTACGTTCTCGGAAGCAAATCCCATAGAAGTCAGCGGAGGCATGTTCAGAAGCTTGAAAACATAATACACACTGATACTTAAAGGAGAAATGGATGTGCAGTTTAGCATGGCTACATCACTGGGGTCATAAACACAAAACAGTTCAAAGTAAAGTTTTTTTTAAAATACATGCCGTCCAATAAACTCTTGCACCTACTGTGGGTGTATTGGTGGAGACAAGATGGAAGAACATTCTTTGAATCAAAGAATGAGAAGAAGTCAATTAAGAAACTGAAAATTCAGAGACCAAAATTTGTTCTGCAGTACATTACATTGATTCCAGTGGAACTTACTAAACATGCATGCTTTGGCTAACTTTTGTAACTTAAAAAGAAAAGTATTGGTTTCCTACCCCCCCTCCTACCCCCCAAAAAAAGATTAATCCATGGAAGTTTTTAGAAATAACTGCTGTCCATTTCAAGCAGTCTTCCTTGAACTGGCATCTTCTATATGCTTTGGATTCCAACCGTCAAATATCATTTTTAAAAAGTTGGAGTCCATAGCATCTAGCAGACACTGGGTTGGGGAAGGTCATTTTAAAAGCATTTGCATCTAGAAAAACATCCCAAATACCGTAGCTAAGACCACAAAGAGTCTTGTGGCACATTAAAGACTAACAGATTTATTATGGTATAAGCTTTCGTGGACTATAGGTCATGTCACTTCATCCGATGTATGGAGTGTTATCCTGAGTTGCAGGTATGTATAAATACCATGGGGTTTTGTATGTGGGGGTGTTAGCCATGAGGTCAGAGGGAAATTGAATGCAGAAAAGTACAGACAGTGATAAATACCTAATTAGCAATAGCAATTCACAAAACAATTGTTGATGACACAGAGATCCTGGCATTGGTCAGCCAATTAACATGCATAACATGCTAAAATCCTCTGTCTCAGTTCAGTCCTCAATCCCGAAGACTGTGTGGGTGTAAAAGATGCATGCAAAAACATGAAGGACGGAAATCTGGATTATGTCTTTTTACTGTTGCATATGTATGTATGTGGGTCTTTCTTTTCATTTTTTGGTGGGGGAAGCACCACCCTTCCTCTAGGCTTTGGCTGTCTGGATCACTGCCTAGTACCTATTGGCCTGGGTCCAAAGAGCTGCTTAGACTCAGGAAAGGGATTTGCTTGTTTCCCAGTGGAATTTTTGGCTTTTCTGTCAAACAGCTGACTCCCCCATGGCCATATCGCAAGCCACTCTTGAAACTTTTCTTAGTTTGCCATGTGCCAGGGGAGAATACAGCAAGTTTGAGGCTGCAGTCCTATACTAATGTACCTGGGAATAAGCCCCTTTGAATTCATGGGCAAGGGCTGTAGTTCGGAGATGGAGCATCTACCTTTGACCTAGAAGGTCCCAGTTTCAATCCCTGCTGTCTCCAGGAAGGGCGAGGAAAAGCTCCTGCTTGAAATCTTGTTGAGCAGCTGCCAGTCAGAGCAAGCAGTGCTGAGCCAGATGGACGAATGGTCTCTGACTTGGCATAAGGCAACTCTCAATGTTCCTTTCAGGCATGGCGAGCTCTCACATTGCTGTTAACAGGGGCAAGGAGTAGGGGTTGTGCTGAGCAGTCTCACCCGTAACACCGTGCTGTTCAGCCTGCCCTCCCTCTGATGTCTACACTAACAGCACCAACATCTGCAGAGAGGGTGCCATGGAACCGGAATGCTTCCAGATTCCATTGAAAGCTTTGGGTGCACAGCTATGCACAAAACTCTCTTCACTGCAGACCTTTGTAAAGTAAGTGCCACCCAGTGGTGTAGCATGGGTTGCCAGCACCCAGAGCAAGTATTGTGTCCTCTAAAGCAAGCATTGCACTCCCTACCTTCATGCAGCGCTGCTGCTGGACGGAGCTGCGGAGCAGTGGTGGGACACGTGTGTGCACCTGCTCAGGCTGGGGCACCGCCCCTGCCATGAATCTCGCCAGCCACCCTCTCCCAGCTCCTGCCTGGCATGCTGCTCAGGTGGGATGGCGAGTGCCTCTGGTCAGGGCAGCAGCTGTAGAGGCACACCCCTAAAACTTTTTGCACCCGTGTTTAGCAACGAGGGTTAGGGATGTGTTTAGGGACGTGGGTGGCACTGTGGGTTAAACCACAGAGCCTAGGACTTGCCGATCAGAAGGTCGGCGGTTCGAATCCCCGCGATGGGGTGAGCTCCCGTTGCTCGGTCCCTGCTCCTGCCAACCTAGCAGTTCGAAAGCACATCAAAGCACAAGTAGATAAATAGGTACCGCTCCGCCGGTAAATGTGGTCCGTCTGCTCTGGTTTGCCAGAAGCCGCTTAGTCATGCTGGCCACATGACCTCGGAAGTTGTACGCCGGCTCCCTTGGCCAATAAAGCGAGATGAGCACCACAACCCCAGAGTCGGTCATGACTGGACCTAATGGTCAGGGGTCCCTTTACCTTTACCTTAGCAACATGGAGGCAACCAGTGTCTAAAGGGAGCTTCCAAGTTGACATGGGTAGGATTGTACTGTAAAGCTTTCACAACCAGCCTCTCAGTTCTTTGGATCTTGCCCATTGAGCCGAATCAAGTCCCAATGAACACCACAAGATAAAAATGGGAAAACAGTTTGCAAATGCAGAAAATGCTGCAGATTGTGATAATTTGCAAACCAAATGAACCATCAAATTCAGTGAAATGCTTTTTCATTAGGAGGCGATAGATTTTTACAGTCTCCTCAATGGATGCCTGCCTTTAGGAAGTTTTGTACAGTGCTAAATCGGGAGAACAGCTAGAGAGGCTGGATTTTTTTTTAAAAAAAATCTGAACAGAATAACTGACAATGTGAGGTTTACTCTTCAGACTGAATACAATTTTGTAATTTGAAAAGGCCTTGCTAAGAAATGAAGGAGACAGATATTGAAGCATGAGGAACTGAACAAAGGTGTCTGTTTCTGAACTTTCCAGGGCACTGGCACTTATAAAAAGTCAGTTTGACAAGATATGCTCCTTCACTAGCAGATCTGCACACAACAAAACAAACAAACAAAAGATATGGCTATTCTTAGAATTCTAAAATGACATCCCTCCAATTGCATTCCTTCCCCTTAAATCCAGAATGTTCAGCAACTCTTTAGACTCTGGATTCTCTTTGAAAGTCTTGGTGCCAAAAAATAAACAAATTGGAGGTTATTTTTAAGTGTGTTTCTCAGAGTAAGTTCACAGAATCCAGATATCATGCTTTCAGATTACGCCCCCCCTCATTTGTACCTTGATGTTGACATAACTGCAATTTCTGCCCATGCTCAACATCATTTTACACTCTTTGAGTAGAGTCAAGAGATCTGGCCATATGGGATGGAGCTTAGGTCAGTTTTATCTCCTGGGTTGCAATAAGTTTGGGCTCTCTCATGCCACATTGTTGTCCAAGATGGGTAAAGGTGCCAGAATCAGATCTGTCTAGTTTTGTGTGGAGCACAATAAAGAGAGCGTGGATTTACAGTCTGTATATATTATGTGCTCTCCTTGGAACAAAATTGCTGGTTTCAGTTTCCCCCCTTGAGAATGTTTATTTTATGCTTTGTGTACACAGAGATTTCCGTGCTTATTGAACTAAATGCCCTGGATTTTTGCATTTCTGATCAGCCTACTGAAAAAGGCCAATGCAAGAAACTGGGGATCTTTCTTCCTCCGAGTCTTCCATCACAATATTAAGCAATTTTCAAAGGCCTGACATCATTAGAGACCCGCATCTGGCTAGGCAGGGATAACAAGCAGCAGATTGTTGCCTTGTTTTGTATAGGCAAATGGTTACTTTATCTTTGCCAAGAGCCGGCTTTGAGTAAATCGATGTAAACAGAAACATTTTGGGGGAGTGTCAGCATTAAAAAATGTGGGTTTCTTCCCCGTCAGTTCCTTTAAATTCAAGCAAATTGTTTTATTTAGTTTAGCCAAATGACTGGCTGGATATGCTCCGTACGTCTCCCTTCTGCGGCATTTCATCAAGATCCAATTTAAGTTTCGTCCTGCATCCATGCCGAGAGAGTCAGCCTGAACCTAATTTATCGGAGTTGCTCTCTTTCCTGCCGCATGTCAGTGGATTAATTGGCACCCAGCTTAAGGAGATTGTCAAGGACTTTTTCAATGAAAGGGCCTCATTACTAAATTCCCATAATATGTTCTCTCTGCCTCCTGCGGAGACAGCAAGGGGGAGGGAATGGTTTCTTGTAGCCTTCGGCACAATAGATAATACAAATTTGCCCACAAGAGGTGCAATCCTGCAATTGGTTAAGGACTGGAACAGCCCCATTGACTTCAGTGGAATTTCTGCACGAATCGCTAAGGGCAGGATTGCACCAGCAGCCTAGGTTCATAAAAAGAAAAGAAATGCTTAACAGGTTTGAGCCGGGGTTGTGCTTTGATTGTTTGGGGGGGGGGCATTTTTCAAAACTGACGCATTAAATTCGCAACGGGTCTATGGAAATTAAAAGGCCGTCCCTGCTGCTTTGGGCAATATTAGGAAGGGGCGGGTACATGTGTGTTTGGGTATCCTGAAGGGCTAAAAGCAATAAATTACCACCACAAATGATTAACACTCAAATCAGTTTCAGAAACATTTCTGTTTAAAGTTCCTGCTCCGATATTAGATTTGAAATGCATTAAGGGCTTTAGTTCTTTCCTCGTTTGCTGATCTTTAAACATGAGCCAGGGGGAACAGCACTATTTTTGAGCTCAGTTTAACGCTGTGTAATTTGACCAGAAATGTTGTGGCACAGAGGAGAACAACCTCCCTGCCATTTGACACCACAATGCTATTTTGATATTTGTTTCAAGTTGCGTTTTGTTGTTGTTGAAAGAAACAGGATCCATTTATTTATTCAGAGGCTTTGAAATAGGGTGAGTGAGAGGAGGGAGTAGCTTTGGCAAGAAATGCTATGGTAATAACTCACATGAACAATCTTTTGGCAATGATTTATATAAATATGTGACTAGTGATACGATTTAAAGTTTCAAACACATTTGTCGCACTGTAATGACTTTTTCTGGGTGCAGGAGCTGTGTGTGTGTGTGTGTGTGTGTCTGTCTGTCTGTCTGTCTGGAGCTCCTCTGATCACAAATGCTTCCCCTTTCACTTCAACGGAGTGTAAGTATTCTTTGATATGTGTGGAGCTTCCTCTCTCCAGAAGTGAACAAGGGCAAAGCACAAGCACAGGAGCTCCACATCATTACTGTGGACTATTGTAACATATTAGGCATGGTGCTGCCTTGGAAACTTGTCATTCCTTTTAAGAAAGCACTCCACTCTTCTGTTTTTCATTTTCAGTGGTCACTGTGCTCAGCATGCTTAGTCCTCCCTTTTAGGTTGCCCCACTCAATCTTTTTTAAAGACTCAGAGCACTGCAAAGTGCCTTGCTGATGAGACTCTAGAGTTCCACCACCTTAATTCCCCATACACATATTTACATCGAAATTAGTATATGCAGATATTATGCCATGGACCTGTGCACCAAATTCTTTAAGTACCTAGGGACTTCCCTGATCCTGGTGGCACTTACTAGCTGAGTTCACTATTTGATGGAGCGAAAGCATCCTTTGTATGCATCAGAAGTGGGGAACCTGTGGCCCATTGCTGAACTCCAACACCCATGATCCTTGACTGTTGTCCATGCTGGCTGGAGCTGGAATCCAACAACATCTGGGTTCCTAATCCAACAACATTACAGGTTCCTAATTCCTCCCCTACTTTATGAGATATGAGGGGCAGGAGCTTTCCCATCATTTATCATTATGGTAGCAAAATTAAGGTTGTATCTAATTTTTTAAGAGAGACCCTAAGTTGATAGGCCTTGCCATTCAAATGGTGTTTGTGTGCACAGTGTCTTGTGATTGAATGTGGGGTGGGGCTTACCTTGCCCCCCCATATTTTATTCAGGTTGACACCCTTGCAGTAATTGGCACCAATTAACTGATCTCTTATTCTGTCTGGTAGCAGATTCTAAGTGTTTCTCAGCGTCAATATTGTATAATTGACTTGGGCCATCTCCACCATTAGGCAGTGTGAGGCGGCCTCCTCAGGCAGCAGGTGCTAGGGGGCAGGCTGTGGAGGTTAGATGCTGGAGGACAGAGCTGTGTGTGCCATACGGCCAAAACAGCACCTCCTTAGCCAGCTTGCTGTCCTCAGTTGTGGCAGAGGGACATGGTACTGTCACTCGTAATAAGAATATAAGAGTAGCCTGCTGGATTGGGCCAGCAGGCTGGATTGGGCCAGCAGGATTGGGCCAGTCCAGGACCCTGTTATAGCAGTGGCCAACCAAATGCCTGCGGGAAACCTGTGAGCATAACATGAGTACAAGAGCACAGTCCCCTCCCATGGTTTTCAACAATAGGCATTCAGAAGCATTGCTGCCTCTAACTGTGGAGCTAGGGCATAGTCATCATGGTCTGTAGCCATTGATAGCCCTCTCCTCCATGAGTTTGTCTAATCCTGTTTTAAAGACCTCCAAATTGGTGGCCATCACTGCCTCCTGGGGGAGTGTGTCCCATAGTTTGACTATGTGCTAAGCGCAGAAATCCTTTTGTTTATCTGTCCTAAATCTTCCAATGTTCAGCTTCATTGGATGTCCACAAATTCTAGTGTTATGAGCAGAGGTTGGATGGCCACCTGTCATGTATGATTTAGTTTAGATTCCTACATTGCAGGGGGTTGGACACGGGTGGCGCTGTGGTCTAAACCACTGAGCCTCTTGGGCTTGCCAATCAGAAGGTTGGTGGTTCAAATCCCCGCGACGGGGTGAACTCCCATTACTCTCACTGGCGGAGGAAGAGGAGTGCGGGGGAGCACACTGCCCCGGCAGCGTGATCCCGGTAGGGTGCCATCACGGTTGTCCCACCACCCACGCTGGGCGCCATGCCCCTGCAGGCAGTGCGTCATGCCCCTGGGATGTGCGCCAGCTCTGCCCCTGCCTGCTCTCACCCCCCAGTGCCGGAGTATGAAGCTCCGCCACTGGTTACTCTTTCCCTGTTCCTGCCAACCTAGCAGTTTGAAAGCACACCAGAGCAAGTAGATAAATAGGTACCACTGCAACAGGAAGATAAACGGTGTTTGAATGAACTCTGGCTTCCGTCACAATGCTTCGTTACGCCAGGAGCAGTTTAGTTATGCTTGCCACATGACCCGGAAAGCTGTCTGTGGACAAACGCCAGTGCCCTCACCTTGAAAGCGAGATGAGTTCCACAATCCCATAGTTGCCTTCGACTGGACTTAACTGTCCAGGGGTCCTTTACCTTTTACCTTACTAGGAGACCCTCTGGGTCTCTTCTAACTCTACAATTCTAGGATTCTATGAGTGGGAAAAAACCCTTTTCTCTAGCCACGTTCTCCTTTCTGTGCATATTTTAAGAAACTTATATCATGTTGCCTCTTACTCACCTTTTCTCTAAACTTAAAAAGTAAGTCTTGAAGTAAGATTCAGCTGCCAGTCCAGTTGTGGAGGGGTATGTTATCTTGCCCTTTGCCTCCGGTCGTCCCCTGAGTAGTCTAACCATTGTTGTCTTCTCTGATGTAGGTCTGGTTCCAAAACCGAAGGGCAAAGTGGAGAAAGAGGGAACGGTACGGGCAAATCCAACAAGCCAAAAGTCATTTTGCTGCCACCTATGACATATCTGTTCTACCGAGGACTGATAGCTACCCACAGGTATTTAATATAGCAAAGCTCTGGTTCTTTAACTGCAAGCTCTCTGTGTTGACACTTCTGAAATCAACCCATATTTTGGCCATCGTTGGCACCCAAGCCAGAGCCACACGGGGCACTTTGGCGTGTACCAAGGGGTTCTTGCATGGAAATCTGTCACATCCGCTGGGGAGAGAGAGTAAACTCAAGATGGTACTTTTTAGTTTGAGAGGAACTCTGATCTTCCTTTCTGATCTGAGGCCAAGAAACAGCCCTACATGCACTAAAATGAATGGGAGAGCCCCTGCATGTCAGGGGAGCTGAGCTCCATGTGTTCATTGGAGTTTCTCCAGCTGTAAGGAGTTTCAGTGACTAGGATGATTGCTTCCTAATTTGTAGGTATGATTTAATTATAATATATATTAAGCGTTTTAATAGAATTTCTAGATGAGTACAAATTCTTGAAAGGCAACCAGATGGTAAATGTGTTACACTTATGATCAAACCATTGTACAATTTTGCTCTTTAGATTCAGTGCATTTGTTAACTATTAGAAGAAATCTAACCTCCTGTAGTATGATAAGACAATATTTCCAGGTTTTTTTTTTGGCAACTTATACTCTGCTTGACTAAGAATTCTATAAAAACAGTAATTGCAGCCAACCATCTGTTTTCTTTTTATCCCTTTCTGTGCCCGACCATTAATTGTATAATTTTATTTTCCTTAACACACATTTTTTATCCCCCCCCCTTTGTAAATGTCACAAGGCATTGTAATCAGAGCAGCTGAAGTGTTCACAAAGATAAACAAATAGCTGTTGGAATATTGTGGGAATGTATTCCTATTTTTAAAAAAAGACAGTTTGGAGGAAATTCATTAAACTCTTTGCAATGTTACAAAGTTGGATAGCAAGTAAAATGTCAGGCACTTGCTATTTGTCTGGCATTTCAACCATTTTTCCCTTTGGCCAATTTGGCTAATTCTTCAAGGTGATTTAGGCCCTCTCACATGTCATAAAATTACCGTAACCAAAAGTTAGCTACCTCTACCTCACACTAAGACAGAATTTAACTTTGCTGTAATCGTAAAGCTAATGTTAATTGTATTTTAAAGTCTGAAATACATGAGATTTACTTCCAAGTAGAAGTATTTAGTCTGGGAACACCAGAGTGGGGAAAATGGCAGCACAACTGGTGGCAACTGGGTGGCACTTGCTAAACAGCAGGTGACTTTGTGATCTCAGTGTGAGCTTTGAAATTTAGTCTGCAATCCTATGGCCCCTTACATATGTATATCCACCTTACTTCTGAGTAGGCATGTATAGAATTGCACAGTTAGCTTGATTTCCTGAAATTTCTAGGTGTATGTGTATTCCCCCTGCCACATGTGTATACTAGATATGCTGGGGGGGGTTAGGAAAATTCCTATGGGCTCCACTGTCCCTAACATCTGGACGTTCAGTGTTAGTGTGAAAGAGACCTACATGTCTACAACTGTGTGTACATAATCAGGTTCCCTGCTGTATGCACACCAATGCTGAACACTGGGATAGAAGACCAGCATCTGCAATATCACTCCCGCTGCCATCAGTGAACATGTGGCAGAGCGAGAATGCATATGCATCCATTTTATATGTTATATAAATCACAGCCTGAATTAGCAGCAGCCATCATAGCAGATTGTCAGGGTGAGCCTCTCTCCAAATGCACCACCTTTAAGGAACCCAAGTGAACTTTAGGTTACATTTCTGCAACTGGGCAATGCACAGAATAGCTCCCCATGTATTTAAATACAAGGTGGTTATTTGAGTGACCGGCCTGGGGCTATTCCGCAGGCTCCAAGTCCAAGAACAGGGACAAAGAACCTGTGGTCCTTGAGAGATGTTGTTGGACTACAACTCCCATCATCGCTGATCAGTGCCCTTGCTGGCTGAGGCTGATAGGAGCTGGGGCTTGGGAACGTCACAACATCTGGAGGGTCACAAGTTCCCCATTCTTCACCGGGTGTCTAGGCAGTCACTGGGATCCAGTTCATTCATTCATTCATTCATTCATTCATCAATCATCTGTTGAGTACTCAGTAGGAAGAGCAGGTGCCCTGTAAACTAGGTCCCAAGGTCCTGGGCACCTGAGATATTGCCATCAGCCTGCTCAGAGGTGTCCCAGGTGTAAGGAGTTGTGGGACAAATCATTTCCAGAACACTTGATCTTCCTACTGAACACTTGGACACTCAGAAACTACATTTCCCATGATCTCTAGTATGTATGATACTGTTTTTCATGATAATGATAATGATAATGATAATAATCATCTAATTTAAAAAACAATTATTATAACATGCTTAACATGTTATAATAATAAAAAATAAAAACAGCTTATAGATGTCAAAACATGAGCTACTTAAAGTTCTGGATCTCTCAGTCTCTCAGTTGCACTCTGTCTCTCTGTGTTTCCTTCTTTCTGTGTTGTTGGCATCCATCTCAAGACACACACACACACACACACACACACACACACACACACACACAAATAATAGACATTGAATGGGGCCACAGAATTCAGAGTTGTTGCTGTGATTTCTGTCAAGCAATTAAACACTTGTGATCACAGCAAATCTATTTAAATTAATGGGCCTAACTTAGTCATATTAATTCATTTCAATGAGTCTACTCAGAATAAATCTTAGTTGAATTCCACTTATTATTATCTCATTTTCTTTGGGTGGCTTACAAAACCAAAAAGATGTGCAAAAACAATCTCAGCACAAGTAACACAGCATTAAAAAACACCAAAACCAGCATTAGTGAATAACGGCAATATAATAGCAAATGCAAAGCAATTTGTGCCCAGATCTAAGTACACTAAAAACATATAATTAAGGGCCCTGTGAGAATGTGCTGTTAAGTGAAGATGTTCAGGAACAATTTCTGTTACCTATTTTATCTGTTTATGCCTGTGTGTCCATCCTTCCTTCAAGTAGCCAAGCAATAAGTCAGATGGAGAAAATGGCATGCCAATGGCGACCTGGTAAATGTTGTGGCATAGGAGAGAGTGGAATCCAGAGTTCCTCTCAGGAATGGCTGAAGGAACTGGAAGGGAGCCATAGCTCTATGGTAGAGCAACTGCTTTGCATGTAGAAGGTGCCAGATTCAATCCCCAGCATCTCCAGGTAGGGCTGGGAGAGACTCCTGTCTGAAACCCTGGAGAGCCACTGCCCCGCAATGTAGACAGTATGGAGCTGGATGGACCAGTGGTCAGAGGCAGTTTCCCATGTTCTCAGGGAACCTTTTCTTGAGTCTAGGAAACATGAGTGGTTGCAGAGAATCAAAAGTGGAGGGAGAGAAGCCAAGTCCCAAATCCCTGAATTTAGCAAGGGGTTGTGGCAGTGGGAGCTCTAGATCCATCTAGGCAGAGTTCTCAGAATAGCACAGTCAACAGCAGCATATTTCACTTAGCTCACCAAAGCCTGCAAAGTCAGTGGTTTGCTGATCCTCATCATGACATGCCTTTGTATTTAGCTTGTATTTAGCTATTTCTGGAAAATATTTAGATCCTGCAGTGCCCTGGCCTAAACGGGATCTTCAAGGTGTCATTAGTCTAGCTCAATATTGTCTGAAGGGACGCAGGTGGCACTGTGGTCTAAACCACTGAGCCTCTTCAGCTTGCCGATCAGAAGGCCGGCAGTTCGAATCCATGCAATAGGGTGAGCTCCTATTGCTTTGTCCCAGCTCCTGCCAACCTAGCAGTTTGAAAGCATACCAAGATGAGTAGATAAATAGGAACTGCTGCGATGGGAATGTAAACGGCATTTCCGTTTCCTCTGGCACTCATCATGATGTTCTGTGCACCAGAAGCAGTTTGGTTATGCTGGCCACATGACCTGGAAAGCTTTCTGCAGACAAACGGCGGCTCTCTCACCTTGAAAGTGGAGATGAATGCTGCATCCCATAGTCAAATTCGACTGGACTTAACCATCTAGGGGTCCTTTAAAAGGTAAAGGTACCCCTGCCCGTACGGGCCAGTCTTGACAGATTCTAGGGTTGTGCGCCCATCTCACTTAAGAGGCCAGGGGCCAGCGCTGTCCGGAGACACTTCCGGGTCATGTGGCCAGCGTGACAAAGCTGCATCTGGCGAGCCAGCGCAGCACACGGAAACGCCGTTTACCTTCCCGCCAGTAAGCGGTCCCTATTTATCTACTTGCACCCGGGGGTGCTTTCGAACTGCTAGGTTGGCAGGCGCTGGGACCGAGCAACGGGAGCGCACCCCGCCACGGGGATTCGAACCGCCGACCTTTCGATCGGCAAGCCCTAGGCGCTGAGGTTTTTACCCACAGTGCCACCCGCGTCCCTTAGGGGTCCTTTACATTTTACCTAATATTGCCTACACTGCCTGGTAGTGGCTCTCCAGGATTTCAGGCAAGTGTCTCTTCCAACCCTACTTGGAGACCCCTGGGATTGAACCTGGACCTTCTGCTTGCAAGGAAGATGCTTACTGTGCTATGGCCCTTCCCCATTTCCTGGTATCCTGATCTTCCCAGGTCCTCAAGTATACATGCAGCCTCCATGGATGCTAAAGGTTCCCCACTGCCAAAGAAACTGGGAGGAATGTGCAACCTAGGATGTGAGGCTAGATCCATGGTCCTGCAGCCCTGTTGCCCCAGCTGTTGGCTCTTCCTTCCAGTAAGCCTGAATAGGTCTTGTGTCACACACACGGATGTCACAGGGCATGAGTTTCTTAGTAGTGGATGCTGATAAGAACTCCATTTTGACTTGTCCAAAGGGTGGCAGAGTCCCATTAGGAACATGGTGTTGAATTGCTGCAACCTCTCCAGCGTTTAGCTGCAAGATGTGACTTCATGGTAAGGGTATTGAACAAAGTAGTGATGGGGTGGGGAGAGAACCATTTGTACTACTTTGAGCTGTTTGGAGGAACTTGAGCTATTTGGAGGAAAAGCTGGATGGAAAAAATAATGATTTGTTGTTGTTTAGTCATTTAGTCATGTCCAACTCTTCGTGACCCCATG